TTAGCTAGTAGCTAGAGGGGAAAATACTGTTTATAGTATTTGACTTGGTCCTGCTGCTTTGCTAAATGGAAATGTAAAAAGATAGATATTAAATATTAATGATGACCAGATGGCAGGTAGTGAACCCCTAAAAACAAAACCCAGCAAATAAACTCCTAGAAACAAAAGCCTGACTCGGAGGAGCGTTTATAGGGCTGAGGCTATTTTTCTTTAGCATTATAAATCTCTTTATTTGAAAACGACAACAGCAGAGCTCCACAGAGCCAATCTTACCCATCAAACTGTCACTAAAATACGTGGCTCAATCCCACAATGTGTCACGTTACTACTGCCCTGAAAGTTTTTAGCTAAAAGGTATGCCATGTCTGGCCAGCTAAACCAACACAAACCAGAGTTAACTGCCATGCTCCAAATCCTCAGACTCTGCCCTCCTTCTTCCCAGCATTCTCTCTGCCCCCAAAATCCTGCCTAGCTATTGGTCAATCCGCTTTAAAAAACAAATGAGAAAAACACATAATTACAATGTACAAAGATTGACCCACAGCAACTGAGCAGAAGCAGTGCAGAGACTTTTAATCTCAAAGCCTGCCCCCCAACGACATACTTCCTTCAGTGCCAACGGGATCTCCTCAGATAGAGCCACCAACTTGGGACTGAGCATTCAAATGCTCAGCACTATGGGGGACATTTCTCATTCCAACCAACACACATTCATTTCAGCAAAAATCATTTAATGTTGTGTTAAAATATTTTTTTTTGAAACAGGGCCTAAAACCTGTTTATGCGTTGACCTAAAACCTATGGCTTGTCTCATTTGAATGCAGACTTTATGAACCAGATGGACCTAAGGGATATCTACAGAACATTCCACCCAATGAACATGCCTTCCTCTCAGCACCTCATGGAACAGTCCCCAAAACTGACCAGATACTAGGTCACAAAGCAAGCCTCAACAGCTAAAAATTGTACATGGCACCCACCATTTGTCCTTTGGTTCAATGATGGGGATGTCCTTCTGTATATATGTTTCTCTTATTGGTTGATGAATAAAACACTGTGGCCAATAGGGCAGCAAGATAGGCGGGACTAGAAGGTGAGGAGGATTCTGGGAGGTGTAGGCAGGGTCAGTCACCATGTAGGCTGCAGGAGAAGTAACATCATGCTGGGCATTAGCCCTTAGCCAGCGTCCATGTGTTTATTTGGGGCCTCTGAGGCAGCTGTGGAACCGGGAGGGAATTCTGTAACAGCTCAGCATTTTAGAGTCAAGGTATACAGTTCATCACATGAACAGGCTGAAGAAGAAAACTCCCACCATCGCATCAAAGGATGCAGAAAAGCATTTGACAAAATTTGGCTCTTAGCCAACTAGGGCTGGAAGGGATGTGATGGAAAAGCTCACCACAGAAGAACGGATCTGAAAAAGTGAAGAAACAAGGGTGGGGTGAAATATTTTACACGGTAAGACAGAGAACCCTGAAAACTCACCACAGACGAACGGATCAGAAACAGTGCAGAAACAAGAGTGGGGTGAAATATTTTACACGGTAAGACAGAGAAACATCTACCAGCCTAAAATTCCATACCTTGCAAATTCATGCTTCAAATTAAAAGTGAAAGTCTGACCCACAGCTAAACACTGAGCTGAACTCTGGAATCCAGCTGCAGAGAGGGAGGAGTGATGAGCAAAGGGGTCAAGACCAGGCTAGAGAAACCCACAGAAACAGCTGACCTGAGCAAGGGGGAGCTCGTGGACTCCAGACTGATAGCTTGGAAACCAGCATAGGACAGAACCAGGCCCCCAGACAAAGATGTCAGTTTGGAGGTCTGGACAATCTATGGGGCCACTGGTAGTGGATCAGTATTTACCCCTAGTACACAAATGGACTTTTTGGAGCCCACTCCACATAGAAGGATGCTCTCTCAGCCTAGATACACGGGGGAGGGCCTAGGCCCTGCGCCAAATGACATGACAGACTCTGAAGAGCCCCCCATGGAAGGCCTCACCCTCCCTGGGGAGCAGAAAGGGGTTGGGATAGGGGGTCGGTGGGGGGGGGGCAGAAGAGGAGAGAAGGGGAGGGAACTGGGGTTGACGTGTAAAAGAAGCTTGTTTCTAATTTACATTTTTAAAAAAAGGAAGAAAAAAATAAAAGTGAAAGTCAGGCTC